GATCACGCTACGCACTTCTGCGAGCTAGTAGTGTGCGACACTGCGGACAGTGCAGTCGCCATGGCTGCCATCCTCGCCTGGCACAGCCGATTCGGTGTCCCACCAGTATGGGTCAGCGACAACGGTAGCCACTTCAAAAACGAAGTCGTGACTGAGCTCTCCAAAAGACTCAAAAGCCAGCAAACTTTTACATTGGCATACAGCCCTTGGATCAACGGCTCTGTAGAGCGCGTCAATCGCGACATCATACAGGTGATCCGTGCCATGATTCTAGAGTACAAAATCTCTGCTAAGGACGGGTTTACCTAGTACCTTTAGAGCAATCTAGGATGAACCATACCGTTGTGCCATCGCTAGGCAACCGAGCCCCGGTAGAACTATTGACTGGATTATCCTGCCCATCGAGTTCTACAATGCTAGCGTTAAGAAGCTAGTCAAGTTGCCGAGCAATCGGCAGCCATCTCAAAACATTTGGCCGTGCTGCGTGACAGCCTGCACAAACTGCATCAGCCCATAGCTGACCAGCGGCTGAAGCAGCGCCTGCTTAACAAAAAGAGTGAGCGCGGTGAGAATGTAGTGAACTTTGATGTGGGGGGACTATGTCCTGCGCTCACGCGTTGACGAGAAGAGAGGCAACAAGTTCCTCGTCACGTGGCAGGGACCATACATAGTGGTCCGCGCGGACGCCCACTCCTTCCGGGTACGCCACCTGGTCACTGGAGAGGAGCTAGATGTCCACCCATCAAGACTGAAGTTCTATGCGGACAGTAGTCTTCACATTACCGAGGAAATCCTCGAGCATGCGGTCTCCCAAGGCATCTTTTTGGCCACCAGCGAGCTGAAAAAGCATCACTGGAGCTCCACAATCAAAGACTAAGAGATCTTAGTAAACTGGAAAGACTTAGAATCCGTAGAGGACTCGTGGGAACCACTCACATATCTCTAGTGAAAGAAGTCAAGGCTCTACTGAACCAATACATCCAAAAGCAAGACGCCAAAGTGCGCAAGTACTGGAAGGACCTTGAGGCCAAATTTCAACAAATTTCCATGCATTCTTTTGCCAAAATCAACACTTTTCATGTCAAACAGATTCGATATGCTACCATGTAGCGATAGCAGGTAACATTACGCTAAAATTATTCCGATCTCCTAATGGATAATTATCACCACCGGCCACAAATACATCAAACATTATCGACACCGGCCCAACTTATAGTTAGTAGCGGTATCATTTGATAGTATTTTATGGGACGAGCCAGAGAAGGCACCTCAAACAATCCGAAATTTTAGACAACTGACCCGTACAATGGTGCAAACATATTTGCTTGATAGGTCAGCGCGTGCAAAAAAGAGTGGAGCTGCGTTCAGTCAAAGGAGTACAGTCAAAGGCAAAGGAGTGCAAGTCGAAGGATGCTTTCACCAACACTGGCGCTTGGACCCTGCAGCGGTGCAGGGCTTTATTCGGCTTCGTCGCTGGTGCTGCAACCGTCAGCGTGGGCTCTTTGAAGGCAAATGCGCGGAGAAACTCAGTAGCGACTGAAGCCGAGGCAAACACGTCGTTTTCCTTGATGGTCTCCCTTCCAAAGTGCTCGCGTAGATTTACCTTGCCTGTTTCCATGCTCGAAGGAATGTGTGGCTAAGAATGCACACCAAGTGTGGAACCCGTCCTCGAGCCGGTCGTCCTATAATGCCGTAGCTTCAAATAACAGACCAATCAAATTTATTTATATGCCACCTGCTTCAATTTGGGCCGGTGTCGATAATGTTTGATGTATTTGTGGCCGGTGGTGATAATTATCCTCTCCTAATACCCCATATTGGCTCCAAAACAATTCGATACATAAAACTTCAACACGTTGCACCTGTTACGCTTGTTACATAGTATGGGCATGGGTACACCTGACGTTACACCCGGTACAGAACCGGGGATTTTTTCGTTAGTTGTAACAACTTAATCGCCGCTAGCTAGACAAGGCTTGGGGGGGGGGCAGTGTAGTGGATGGCAATCTCCAGCCTGTCCAGCTAGCAGCATCACCATTGGCCGCAGTCAATCACTGCAGGCGTGATGGCTGCGGACATGTACCTTAATCATAACGCAAAGTAAGATGACAAGTGCTGGGCATAACGCAGAAGCTGATGCCCAGCCAGAAATCAAGTGGACTATAGCGGAAATCTTGCTGACAACCGAACTACAAGTTAGCGGCTTCACTGGTTAGCAGGAACCGCAGCGCTAGGAGTAGTTCGTACCCGATTCATTTTGCTATTTACCTTTGGCAATACACTTACGGCAAAAACTTACGGGAGCCTCGCCGTCTCCCCCTGCAGACACTACACTATGCCTGATGCAATTTACAGATATTGATGGAGAAGGCACCGCCCTTGTGGCCAACACCCCGCGGCCGCACCGTGGTTCTTGGTAGTGCGGCCGTCAGCCGTCGCTGCTCGATCATCGCGTGAAATTCGCGACCTTTCTCAAGACCAAGAGACATCGGGAGACGCGAATGCCGCACGTTCACGACAAGTAGGAACTTGAGCTGCATGGTGATTGCGTGTTGGGGTGTTAACACATCGGTACTATGGTGTGCGCTTGTAGTGCGCAGCTTCGCTTTGTGATGATGCTCCCTGTGGTTATGGTGGCGGGGAGTTCGAATAGTGCGTGTTTGTGACCGAGGATCGGCTTCACGGGTTCCAGCGAGCGATCAGTTCCGATGTTCTTCTGCGAATGGGGAAGGTCGCACTATTCTACTTCGTGCAACAAGTTGTGCAGCCGCAGCGAGAAGACTAATCCTGTTGGACGGAGTGCTCTCAGAGCGAGTGCTTTCGTCTGAACGACGACTGCAGACGAAAAATGCTCCGCCAGATCGACTCCGTTTCCAATGTCGGATTGAATGGGTCATTGGCAAAACTAATTTTTTATGGCTTGGAACGCTCAGGCGATTCAGGTGATGCGTATCGCCCACCAAGTGTGTAGTGCCCGAGTCGTAACTAATTTTCACGACGACGAAGAGAAGTCAAACGTGACGGTGTTCCACGGCGCCGCTAGGATGAGCGGTCAAGCGTGGATCCACCCAGCGGAATCATCAGTACATGGAGGTAGCTCTTGCTCTTCGGGGAGAGAAAGCGCCCGAGCTAAAAAGGCTGCATTGGAAGTGAAATACATGTAGCGTTGCATAAATGTTCATTGATGTTAATCTTGGTTTTGTTCTCACTTCGCTTCTTTGATTTCCCTTCTACCGCCACGAATATCTTCGTTTCCTTTGTACGAAGCGGGGCATGGGGGCGAGTCCGATAGTGTACAACGTGCACTTCGGACAGCCCGTCTCCAACAACCCTTTTGGTGAACCTCTAGTCTAATAATCAATTCCGCCCATTTGATTGGCCAAAATATGGGGTGACAGTTAACAACTCGGCACACTTAACACCTATTGTGCTTTGCACACTTAACACCTATTGTGCTCTGCAAACGTTTTGTCGTTTTGACTTGGAGCTCTCCTCAATTTATAATAATTCGAGATCGATTTAATAAAACGAGGTCAAAGAAAGGGACAGATTGATCTATTTAGGCCGGCTAATAACTCGACCTACGCCAATCCAAATCAGGTCTCGGGGTCGATCTCCTGGTGGATTTGAGCAGAACGAGGTCGATCTAAGGTGCTCGACCAGTTTACCGCAATGTTTTACTTTTTCCGCGGAAAACTGGTCATATCTTTTTTTCTAGACATCCTCTCAGAAATTTAAAAATATGCCGCAAATCTACAGAAATTCGCCTACAACAAGGTGATCTTGTCGTGGTTCTAGTGTTTTGTAAGCGAGCTACCTGCATCAAGGAAACACCAGGATGCTTTGACGAGCGCCGGCCAGTTTAGCGCAGCGAAACATATTGGGGTTTGTATGACGAAGCATCCCTCTTGG